AGAGCGTCGGAAACATGCGGCGCTGTTTCCTCTGATTTTGTGTTGGAAATACGGGCTATTCCGGATTTTTCCCTCTCGACTTGTACATAATTTTTAGAAATGCGAAACGCGTGCACTCGATATGATTTCTCTCCAATTACCGTACAAGATAAAGGTACAGAGGAAGATTTATACGCGTGACAATACCTTCTTCCCTTTATCGCGCGCACAAATCGTACTGGAAAAGTAGGTACAGTGTATGACTATTTCGGTAAATTATATTAGATTATTAAAAAACCCCAAATTGATGACCCGAGTAATTTTTTTTTGGGAAATCTGCAGTTTTTTATATTCATTAATGAATGATCAATGATATCGATTTTATATAATAGCACATAATTTTCAAATAAATAAATAATGAAACGGGCACGTAAGAGACAGACGCAGAAATTATTGCGCAAAATTAGTTAATTAATAAAATAAGTTTAATACAAACGTGCACTAAAAAACAAAACGATATTCAATGATTATATATACGTTTCGAGTCTTTTTCAGATCACAATTATTAACAAAAATAATCCACTTGTAGATCGTAATAAGTCACTTTTAACTGTGGACGTATCATTCACATACAGAAAAATATCATTCTATTGTTAAGAAAAGTGATTACTCAATTTACTTTTTTCCTTTTAGATAATGGTTATAACAAGAAATATGTTCTCTTGATAATAATCTTAAAATATACTTATTACAAATTTTAGAAAAATTCATTATTATGTACTAAAAAAAAAGAATTAATTTTCTTTTAAAGAATATTATTATATAAAATTGATCGAAAAAATAATTTTATATAATAAGCAAACTGAACTTGTTTCTGAAGTTTTTTAATTTAATAAGTTTAACTAGTTTGAAGAATTAAACTCACTAGGATTTTTTCAGAATATATTTTTAAAAAATTTAAAACTTGTGATAGACTTATGATAGATTTGCAGATATTATGAACTTTTTAAATACTTGAAACAAATAATTATCACTTGCATACAGTATGTGTAATATTTTTCTATGTATGCGGTTGAATACCCTCACAAAAACCTCTCGATGTGCTAAAGATTTTCTTTTGTTAAGCCACGCGCATTGTGAAAATTGACAAAATATTTAAAATTGAAAGTAATTCACTAACGACAAGGACCCAAGTCGAGTCGCATAGATATATAATTTTCACAGTGCGTGCATTTACATTGACAATAAGTTCACTGAATAACGTTTTTAGTCTGATATTTCAAACAGAAAGAGATTTGAGAATCTCTTTGTTCTACACTCAATCAACAGGCTTAAAAAACCTTGTCGTACGACACATGAGATATCAGCATTAGGTATCTTTTCGACAATATATTAATTAAATGCTGAAATTGGTTACGACGAGCGGTAGCGGACATATAAATTATCATAAATAACTACGTCCTTCCGTGGCTGAAGAAATCGTGGTGTGCACCTGCCCTAATAGCTTCGCACAGAAGCACGTTCGCGTGCTCGCGTTGGATAATAAATTCATAACGATCCCGCCATTTTTATTTTACAATCAATGAATATATTACTCGATAAGTTTCTCAATTCGATAAGATATTACAAAATAAGAAAAAAGAAAATTCAACTAACAGTGGAAAAAAAAACAACTCGCCTGGCGAACAAACGCAATAAGTGCAATAACCAGTAAGACATTTACGAGCACGACCGGTGTGGTGAGAAACGTGCGCGCGCGTGCGAATCTTGCAAGTAAGGCTTGAAAAAAAAAAGTAAGAAAAAGTCGTTTGGATTTTCTTACCTCAGTTGGTAGGTACACGATAATCTGGATAATTCGTCGAGAGACAGACGTATCAATGATCGTGGGACGTCATCCGCGATGAAAAGTGCGATTTCTTCGTGTGAAACTAGAGGTACGAAACGATACGAAACGAAACGAAACGAAGATGACAACGGCAACACGGACACATTCGCGATGGTGGTAGTGGTAGTGGTAGCAACGGCGGCGACAGAACGACGGAGACGGAGACGGCGCCGGAGCGACGTTCGGGCGAGATCGTCCTTCGTCGGACGGAGTCGGTTCGCCGCAAAAGGCTGAGCGCGGCATCGCGGGGGAGCGAGGTGGCGCGTCGGCGAGGGAAACCGCCGCTGTGAATCCGGCGTCGTGATTGGTCGTCGCGTGGGAGAGCCGCCCGCCCGAGCTCACCGTCGCCGACAGTCGGCACCGAGCATTCAAGTGGGTCGTGTCGAAGGTATTCGGAGTCGGGTCGGGATACAGATATACGGCGGGAACACACGACACACGCAAAATCCTCTCGAACATTTTTGCTTTTACACGGACGGGCACGATGACCGCTCGGCGCGTGCACCGTTCGCGACAGCAACAACAGCAGCAGCAACAACAACAACGACAGTGCCGTAGTTGTCGTCGTGGTGCCACCGTAGTCGCGCGTCGTGTCGATGGCCCGTTGACGGAATCGCAGTATCGTGCGCTCGCGGAAACATCGTGGCCGCCGTCTTTGTGCAAATATGCTACGTGCAAGCCGGGCTCGCGGTGCGCGCACTGAGAGGTCCACCCGGAGCTAACGTCAAAAGAGAGAGAGTAACCGGGGAGCGAGTGGAGAGAGGAACAACGCGCTCCACTCTGCGCATTAATACGTCACGGCCTGCCTTCTCATACACCACCTACCTCTCTGTCCGTCGCGTCTTCGTTTCTTTAACGCTTCTCTTTCACTCTTGATCGTCCTACGCCGCGCTTCACGCCCTCCTACTCCTGCGGTAGCGGCGACCTTCCCACGCGTATCTCTCTTTCTCTCTCTCTCTCTCTCTCTCTCTCTCTCTCTCTCTCTCTCTCTCACTCACTCTATCTCCCGACAACGACAACGCCGCCGACCGGAAATTAAACTCGCGCGCGAAAAGCGCGGCCGTGTGTCGCGCGACGAAGCGCGGGGATCAAAACCTCGAGAGGCGCGCCCGGCCGTCTCGTCTCGTCGTACCGTCGGCGAGACGTTGCGCGTCGTCTCCGTCGCGCCGAGTGTTCTCATCTGACTCAAGTAAACGCCGCGCGCGACTGTCATTTTGACTGCCGTCACGCTGGGTTCGGTCCGGTGTAGGGCCGACGGGTATCGCGATACGCGCCGAAGAAATCCGGCTCTTTGTCTCTCGAGTCAAGTGGTGCGGCCTAACCTCGTCGTTCAACTGTCAGCGCGCGACCAGTGACGGTGAAC